TGCGCTGCGCTCTTGTTGCCCACACACTTTCACTGCGGAATGGGGGCAGCTGCAGACTCGCGCTGCTTTGTATGCGCTGCATGGCTTGCACTTTTGCTGCCGTCTGCTTAGGTTGTGTGGCCACAACATAAAGCGCATTGCATGTTGCAGGGCTCTAAACTATTTGGGCACATCGTGCACGTTTTCATTTAGCTGAGTGCATGCAGCTGCCTGTCTGCTCAGCCAACAGCAGAAGCAGCAGCAGCAGCAAAAGCAGCCTCAATTCGACCAAGAAACTAGAAACAGTGTCTTCCTCTTCCTCTTCCTCTTGTTCACCTTCGTCTCGCATCGAATGCAAATGCGAATGCCAGCAAGTGCAGGTTAAATGTTGCTGCTCATGGCTATTACAGAGATTTATTTGAATTTTTGGGGCCATAATTTATGCTACATAAATATCAAATTTCTCAAGCTGCCAGCTATTCGGGTCGAGCACTTGCAGTCCTGTCAATTGGCCACAGCTCGAGCCAATTAAGTGCAATAATGTACATATTTAAGCAATTTGTTTATGCAAACGGCATGCGCACGCATGTCTCCATAATAATGGCAATATTTCAATATTTTATATCGAATTGCTTTGCGGCTAGGAAATTGTCTCAGCTGTCCAAACGGCATTCCTTTGCTCGGCAAAGTAATTTCCTTTCGTTCAGCACAACTAATTGAAATAATAATGACAAAATTATTAACCCAAAGTCAACAAATTATTACCCAACGTGGTCGAATATGTTATATGTGCATGTGTGTGTGTGTGTGTGAGTGTGTGTGTGTGTGTGCGTATGCAAATATGCAAATAGTTTTGGTACATATTTTATACTGAAAATGGGAAATCGGGGTATTATGGTTTTGTGTAAATGCTTGCAACGGGCAGAAGGGAGTGTAAAATTGAAGATTTATAAGTTATAATTTCGATAGCTTCCCATAGTTGTCGATGAAATCGTTATAATATATGTACGTGTCGTATATTTCAAGAGATAGTCTTTTATTTTGCATCAGGCTTCATGTGCATTTTTTATAATTTTTATGTTCATTTGATTTATAAAACTCAGATATTAATTAAATTGAAAAACAAATAAAATAAATAATTAAAAAATAATAGAATATGTACATCAGATTCGTCAAGGAATACAGAAGATAGTAAACTCAGATATTAATGAAATTGAAAAACAAATAAAATAAATAAATAAGAAATAATAGAATATGTAGATCGAACCCGTCAAGGACTACAGAACAAATGACAAAATCACGTCGCATTCCTTTATATGTGCACACATACATTGAAATTTTCTGCATTCATGTTTATTCTAAAAGTCGCGATTGCAATGAAATTGAGTTTGAATTGTCAGCTGAAACTTTAGCTCAGATTTGCCATGTAACGTTTGAGCAGCAAAGTGGGGATGTTGGTAGAGCTCATGCCATAAGTGGGCTCAACTCTGCGTGATGGTGGAGTGCAAAAAGTGCGATAAACATGTCCTTTTTTCTGGATATTTTGTAAAATTTCACAATTTGTTCCACATACATACATACATACAAGCAAGTAAATGCTGCTAGTTGAAAGTTTCGATTTTCAGAGTATCTGCCGGTCGGACCGTCCTGACTGCTGCACTCACACTTGTTTACAGAAAGAACTGTTCACAAATTGATTCGCATGCGAGGAATTATGCATTTTGCATTGATCAGTTAACATATTTTGGCACTTATGTTGGCAGCGGCAACCTGAACCGTGGCCAATAGCTGCGCACACACCTTTTCGTAACGCTTTCATGTGACAGAATGACGCTGCGCGTGTTTGCCTTTGTTTGCATGTGAGTTGTGGTCGCAGTAAAAAAAAAAAAATATTCTGTTGAATTATTTGCGGTGGCCGACACGCCCCTCATTCGTGTTGTAGCTGTCGCTGACAGAAACTGGGCTGCAATGCAGTTGCAGCCGAAACTTAAAAAAGAAAAAAAAAAAAAAAATTGAAAATAAAATCAGAAAAAGACGATTCAGCTAAAGCGCGACGCATAAATTTAATTTGCAACTGAGACTCGCCTCGCACACACACACACACACACACTCTCGCTCTCTCTCTCTCTCTCTCACTCTATTAGCGCAAAGTTGCGCATTATAAAAACAATTTCGGCAAGTTTTTGCCAAGTTTTGAAATGATTCAATTTGCTGATTCTGAAACTTTGCCAGGTACCAGCTGCTGCTGCTGCTGCTGCTGCTATGTGAGACTATCCCTAATAGCTTTCGGCAGACCACAAACAGCAGCCGGCTGGCAATTAAATGCCGCTGCACAGGATGCGCCCGCTTCCGGCCTGGCTCGCATAGTTCACACAGAAGAAGAATGAAAGAACGGACAGTCATTATCTTGCTGTGATTGGGGCTTGCCTATAATGATGTAATTTTAATTATCTACAAAAGCCATATATAAATTATGCAGCGAAATAAAATGCGATTCAATTACGTGCTCATAGCGATACTCTGTATGCAGAACAGGATTGTGAAGGGGCGGGCACGACACGTGAGTCAGCATGCAACAGGCATTAAGAGTAGAGAATGTGAACTGTCGTCTCTTCATCTGATTTGTCGTTTAAATGTATTACATTTATGGTTTATATATAGTCTAATAAACCTATGCCCAATCCTATTAAGTTTAGATTCAAACAAGAGGTATTTCGCAGTATTAAATTTGAAACTGATAACCGCATTCAGCTGCCCTTAGCACGGCAGCTTACTGCCGCATATTTCAGTGTTGCAGCCGATTAAATGAGAATAAATAAATACAAAGAGGGAGCGCGCATCTCATAAACATATTTAACCGCCGCTTGACATATGCCATCCATACCATAATCATCAGTGTCAGCTCTGTGTTTGGCTGGCAAATATTTGGCTCGCGCCTGGAGCTATGCATGCCGATGACATTGGCTGCCTGCGGCTTCGTTGACTCGCATATTCCACACGTGCTCCAGGAATGCCAATGTAAATTCCGCCAAGTGTATTAAACAGCTTATCTCCCGCTTGGCCTCAGCCTCTGCTCAGCATTCCGAGCGCATTTGGCAGTAGTCTTGCCATCGGTCGCCCACAAAGCTATAATAATAATAATAATATATGTAATTGCGAAATGCAACGACTGCGGTTGCTAAGCGATCTGCTGTAGCCTGAGCTAACTGCCACACACAAACATATTCAGGTATTCAGGAGTGAGCTACAATTGGACGTTTACTTCACTAATTGGATATGAGAACTGACATGAATGATATGAATTACTACAGAAATTAGTGAATTAACACATGCCACAGAGGATGCAATTGTGACGGCCAAAGGATACGTCTGCTCGCAGGCAGCATAATTTACACTCGACAGGCAGCAAGCAACAGGCGAGGCATCTATGTCATAGCTCAAACTCTAAATTGCAAATGGAAATATGTCCGCTTAATTGGCTGGGCAAAAGTTTGAGCACTCAGCAAAAGCAAAAGAAAAACCAAAGGAAACGGAAACGAACGGAATACTCACAGCAGATTCTTTACAGCTGCATTCTAGTGTAAGAATTTCTTTCAGAATCAATAAAAAGCAATTGGTAATTTAGCCAAAGAGAAAGAAGTTTCGTTAAGGAAAACATAAAAAATAGTGTAAACAAGTAAGAAAGCTCGAGTTGGCATGGTTCGACTAGGAGATACCATGAATCGAACGGTGAATTGATATTCTAATGAATGTACATAGATATAGTCAATATGCACTGAAGCTATTGCCTCAATTTGTGGCATTCGCTACGATGACATATATATATTCGATTTTATTCTAGAAATACTAAGTGATATGTGACTATAAGGGAATAAATGGAATTGGGTGAGGTATACGAAATAATATTTTAACACAGAATGGTGCGTTCAGCGAAGTGTGGCATGAATGAGCTGTCCATTCATTGCGTTCACTTGAAGTCTGCTACTTCTCCTTCTGCATGTCACATATATACCACCTACCCTGATTTACCATATTCAAAGGGTTCAAGGCAGACATATATAGGCACTTATCGTGTGGTGTTTATGCTGTACTAAAACTATTGGGATGCGCCTACGCAGCCCAATGAAAGGAGCAATAAAACAGTAGAGCAAACATTCCAGTGATTCAACTTTCTTTTCGTAATTCTTTGGGCATGCAACTAGCAATAAAGCATTTCAGATCGTATGGGGTTAGATGTAATAGTACGAATGAATGCATGCCTATTAGAAAAAGTGCCTAAATGCAATTTGGAAACATTTCCGTTTGTAATAAATAATTACTTGGATATTAAAAACATGCTTGGCTCATCTGCCTTCGGGCAGCCAGCATCCAGAGCCATTCGAACAATGCAGCACAGCCCTTTATGCCATAAGCTGGCATGCGTGTATGTGTGTGGGTGGGTGTGTGGGGGTGTGTTTGGGGGTGTATGTGCTTGCGTGGGTCGAGTATATGAGAATGATAATAACAAAAATTGTTTGGAAAACGAGTCTAGCACATAATAAATAACTACAAAATGAATGCCGCCAAGCAACATAAGAACAGAGCGAAGGCCACAGCAAACATATAGAGACGACGAGTATATATGATGCTGGGAGTGGGCTGGAATGGAGTGGGGAGTGGAGTGGCTGCTCGTATTTTTAATAAAACCAAATAAACAGCAAAACGGCCATAAAAGCTTTGAGGACGGCACGGAGCTCGGCGAAATGTTTGCAATATTAAAGCAGCAGAATTGAGCCCAGAAATCAAGGCGAGACCCGAGCAAACAGCGCAGCTCAACTGGCCAGCGGCCAGGCCAAGAAAATGATAGAGGGAGAGAGAGAGAGACAGAGAGAGAGGGAGAACAAAAAAATACAATAAAAATTACTGAACCGAATGCATCATAATGTTTACGTCAAAAATGAACAACATGAAAAGCGTCCGAGCTGAACCAGGCCAAGATGCAGTCCCTAAGGAGCAGCGGCGTGCCGAGCTTGCCTTGTTCCAGGCAGCTGCAGTACAGTCTTTATGGCGAACGAAAAAGGAAATGTGCAATATATACACACTTCACATAATTGTAAAGGCTGTTGTGGCAAACTCTGTTTATTGTTGTTGTTGCTGTTGTTGTTGTTATTGCGGTTGGCCAGCATCTAAATTGATTATGAGCAGCTGGGCCCAAGGTAAACAGAGAGTTGCACAAGACGAAGTCAAAGTAAGCCAGAGCCAGAGCCAGAGCCAGAGCTAGCCGGAGTTGGCCACTTGGCGTATACTAAATATTATATTGCGAGTTTCTTAGCAGCAGGTCTTAAATTTAATATGTCCTAAAACGATTTGTTTATTTGCTTTGGCAATTTGCTATAGATTACCGCAAGAAAGAGCTTGTGCCGAGCATGTGGCTGAAAACGAGAAGTCGAATTAAGTTTTCATATTAAATTTGAATTAAATTCTGGGCTAGGGGCCGCATTAAAAAGATTCTTAGAAATTGCTCCTCTTTTTTTTTTTGGGGAAAATTTGGATTAGAGATTCGGAGTCAAGTTCACAATGTGAATCACAGCTCAAGTAAATAATAATTAAATTTAAGATTCATTTGAAGGCAGCCATTGACTTGGCCAGCTTCTGAAGACTTTTATAAAATTTCTTAAAATTAATTAAAGTTCCATTCCATTTATTCTTTATTTAAAGCTGCCACAGCTTAAATTGAGAAGTCGAATCGAATTAGAAAAGGAACGAAAGGGTATTTATCATTTTTTTATATACTGAAATGTGAATTGGAGGAATGCCTTGATATAATTTCACATTGTGAACGGCTTGAGAGCGTACAATCATTTATTTTTTTGAGTTAGAAAAATATAAAAATATTAATTAAATTGCAGCTTCATATAAATGAAGCTATTACCTACCTAAGCTGCTTTATAATTCCAAGAATTAATCAAAATTTCCTTCTATTTGGTCTGAGAACGAAGAAGTTGTCTCATTCAACAGCAACATCCAAAGGGAACTTGGCTTTGTTTTTAAAGCTGCAACAGCATCTTCAAAGACGTCACGTCGTTAATGTTGCGTGCTCGAGTGCCCAGAAGTTAGAGAATAACAACATAAAGTAAATCCTAGAAATGGCTTTTAATGTCGCCGCAGCGAGAGTGGCCTTCAGAGTCGGCCAAGCCAGCCGAGTTGCCGGTGAGTAAAGTTTTTAATGCGCCAAAGCCCGAGCTGAAGCCGCTTACGGAAGCGCCACAACAACGGCAAACGCCACTTGAAGTTGTGCAGCTGCGGCTTTGCCTACAACATTTGTTGCATGCCACAGCCTGCCTGCCTGCACTTGACTGCGACTAGCGACAACTGCAACAGCAAACAGCAACAGCAAACAGCAACAACGACATTCACCATTTGGCTGCTAAAAACAGCATAACGTAATTATGAGTTGCCATAGGTAATGGCATTGGCAACAAGAGCTCCTGCAACTGCAATTGCAACTGCTGCTGCGACGACTGTTGCTGCTGCTGCTGCTAGACGACCATCAAAGTGTTGCAGTGAAATGTATAAAAAAAACACATTTCAAGTGACATTCGTGCACAGTTTTTTGTTGCATATTCGTTCCTTTTTTTTTGCTCCGTTTTGTTTTGTATCAACTCTAAAACGCCGCAAACGGCCAAGAGCCCACTTCGTTCACACTCGATGCGTTAGCATGGTCGGCCAGGCTAGGCCGGCGCAAGGGGATGACAGTTTCGCTTACCTGACAAACAGGCAGGACCCAACTGCTGTTTTATAGCAAAATATTTACGATTTGGTATGTAAAGTGGCGTTTCTTGTGCGCTTTTCCGGCACCTTCGCTGTACGCTTTTAAAAGCCTCTGGGGCTTTTGTTTGCCCACACACACACACACACACACACACACACACACACCAGCACTCACAGGCACACACAGTCAAGCACCAGCAGTCTGGTAGAGCGTTTTAGTTGGCAAGCCTTTTTCATGTCCTGTCAAGTATTTGACTTTGTCACAGCCAGCTAAATGCTTCAAGTGTAATGCCCGATGATTCGTTACATATAAGTTCGCTGCAAAAGTTACTGTTGTTGTTGCTTCTGCATTGCTTTAATGTATTTTTTACATTTTGTCATTTAGTTGATTGCACAGATTCATTGTTCACTGTTTGTCCAGCCAGTCAGCAGGAGTTGCCATCTCTCAGCCTGTTAATATCAATTTGTAAAGCTTGACATTTGTCAGCTATTTATTTGTTTGTCGTCTCTGCTGCTGGGGCTCTGCCTGCCTCCTGCCTTCCGTCTCCTGCCTCCTGCCGTCTGCTGATTTGCTTACTGCGCTCAACTGTCAATTTTGTCCTGTCACTGATTCACTTATTCGCCTCAGCCCTAATTGGTTTCGCATTACCAGACCGACTCGAATGACACTCAAGTAGAAAAATGGTTTGTCGTAATTCAGCATGAAGGTTATTCTATTGTGTATATTGTATTTTGATATATATTATCTTATTATGCAGCGAACCCATTATAAATGAGAAATCGGGTAATAATGGCTCTGTGGAGGTAGGCAGGTACCTTAAAGGCAGTTGGAGGTGTGGCAGATCCCATCAAGTCTATATATTCATGAGCATCCTGTTAATGACAATTTATTGAGTCTAAGTAGACCAGTCTGGAAGTTGCCCTCTGTCTGTCCGTCTGTCCTTATATATACACTGAGCTCAGCTGAACCTATAAGAGCTAGAGACATTTCAGCAGTTTTTTTCAGATAATCGATTAATATCGAAACTTAACATATTGAAGTATCTCACATACATCTTTGGAGTTTGAGTCTCTCAACTTTAAATATTACTGATCAGGTTAGATTCCAGGATATCTTATACTCTGGCAGCTCAAATGAAATATAAATTTTGGATATCATATTCAGTTTGGTTTTCTAGCTCTATATGAAAAATGCAGTGCTCAGAAAATTCTTTCTATTTACCATTTCAGCACGAAGTGTTTCTTTCAATTTGCAGTTGCCTTTGGCCACTTTGATGCTGGATGGAGTTGGCTGGCAATCCAGGAGGACTTTTGACATTCTGTGGCTGGCTGAGGGCGAGAAGACTTGTGGAAAATATTTAATTAAAATTAAAATATGGCAGCTGCTCACAGCTACATTCCATGACACAAATCGCACTTAATCCATCTGCAGTTTGCTGCTGCTACACTTTGGGGCAATAAATCTAAAGGCAACTCGGTTCGCTCCTCAACCAAACTACTCCTAACTAATGCGAACACACACCCATACAGACAGATATACATATATATATATATATATATATATAGTTACCAACAAATATATTTATATATATTTGGCGCCTGGAGCTGATCTTCTGCTGCAACTGCGCCAGTTACTACTGCCGCTGCTCGGACCTCGACTTCCTGGCTGCGCTCCACATTTTTGCCACGAAGATTTTAACTGTCAGCAAGTTGGGCGACTTAATTTGAATTTACGGCACCAAGAGGAACGGCTCGCACTGTTCGCACTGGGTCGTGCTCGGCTATTATATAGCACAAACACCATTAAATACTGAGTGGAGCTTCTAATGTGTTTATTGTTGTTACTGTCCCTGGATCGGGCTCTGGTGCTGGTCTGGCGCTGGTATGGCCTGTTCTGCTCGGGGATGGGCTGGGCCTCGTGTGTGCGCGACAATAATATTCAAATACTATGCTGCATGGCTGCAGTTGCCTCTTACATTTTCTCTTCTTTTTTTTTCGCCTTTGCTCGCGTGTGTGTGGGCGTGGCATGACGAGGAGTAGTCAGCGCCTAGGTGCTCACTATCCGCCCATCCATGATGTTTATACCGGCACTCTCGCACCCACTCACACTGACACTCTGGCTGGCATTCGCAGTCATGCAGCTCGGTGCGCTCTCGAGTCCCGCCTGCATTTTCATATTTATGTGTCTCTAGATAGCGCCACAGCAGTCAAAAGTTCTTCGTTCACACTCTCCACACACACACACACAGACACACTTGACAATGTGTGTGTTTATATGTTTATATGCTAATACTTTAGCACACATGCCGAGCACTATTATCGGGTCTGCCACTTAGGCGTCGAACTTCCGCTTTCCTGCTGTTGGATCTCAAGGCAATTGCGCAGCATTGCAATTTAGGGTCTGAGCTTCGGCTCTCTCTCTGTGTGTGTGTGTGTGTGTGTGTTGGTTGTAAAATGAATTTTACTTCATTTTGATATGTTTTCCCTGCTGGTTTAGTGTCGGCCACATAAATACATGTGTGTGCTGGGGGGTGTTTTGTCTGTTTGTTTTGCCCGCTGACTGCACTATCGCAATGATAATAAATTTTATTAATCTTGCTGTCACACAAAACACACACACACACACACATACACAGTGAGTAAGGCAAGGATGCATATTTCTCTAGCCCTCGCCCACGCCTCGCCACTCGCTGATCAAGTGCTCAACCTAGTGCTCAAATATGTAAACCTGCCTGCCCCCCCCCAGCCACATGTGATTAGCGACGCGCGCGCCGGCAGCCCAAAGCGGAGCACGCGAGTGCGACTTGCAATTTATTTTCATTTCTCGATGCACAGCTAACGGCCAACAGCAACACCAGCCCATTTCCACCTACAGCAGCCAGAATTTATGATACGTGTCCAGAGTGACTTATTTGGAAGCAACGCAGGAATTGGCAACATTTAAAAGGGGAACTTAGAGGCAGCGCAATTTATATAATTAAAGCTTAATGTTTTGTAATTATAAATAATGCATTTTGCAATTCAGCCCATTGAATGGGCCTCTCTAGGCACTCGGCTCGGCCCATGTGCACGGGCGGCTAATAAAAAATGTATTCAATTTCTGCCACAGTCAAAGGCGAGCGCGCAGCGAGTGAAAGTGCATCGAAAAATCCCCAGGCTCTGCCAGCAATTAAAACCAGCCAACGGCAACAGATTTTCTAAAGCCTATGCTGGCCTTTGCTGGGCTGCTCTGTTGCTGTGTGTGACGGGCTGAGTCCTTCGTCCTTGGCAAGCGCTAAGCAGCAAATTTGATGATGTCGACCGCAGTGCACTCGTGTTTAAGCGGCAGCTGTCTGCTGTCTGCTCCTGCTGCTACTCTGTTGCTACAGGAAATGCAGTAGAAAAATCAACAAATGCCGGAAATGCGCTGCTGCGATTAAAGTTTTTGCATTAAAATTTTGGGCCACAGAGGCGGCCGACTGGCCCGGGCTGGTTATGTAGCTGACGGGAGTCTGTGGTCCCCGCGGATGCTGTGGCTGCTTTTGCAAAATCTAATTGCAAAATTTTATTTAGCGACAGCCTTTCAGCGTGCACACGAAACATGGGTTCGCTCTCTGCGCCGACTATGCATAGTTTCCTGTCTGCTCGCAGTAAATCATGATATTTATTTGGCCAAATACGAGCCAAAGTGAGAGAGAGAAAAAACGAATGGCAAATGTTGTCAGTTCTTTGAGTGAACGCAGCCCCGCGGCAGTTTCATTTGCTGCTGTGGCATTAATTTAAATATCGTTTTTAATTCAGTTTTGTTGGCCAAACTCATTGGCCGAAGCCTCAAAGAATGCTCGCCCCGCAGAGTCATTTTGTTTATTATTTAATTAAAACTAATTGAAAGTTTTGTCTTTGTCGTCGTCAGGCGCCAGCGGCCGCCCAGCCGAGCAGCAGTCAATCTCGTAATTTGAACATAGCCCAAATGCCCAGAAATGATTTTTGGCCAAACACTGTACTGGCTGACTGGCTCGTCCCACAAGGACAACAGCAGAAGCAGTTGCAGCAGCCAGAGCAGATATGCCATGCACTTGACTGACTGACGTTTTGCCAAATCTGTCAGAAACTAGACAGAGGGCCGGAAATGGGAGAGATGGAGAGAGACAGAGAGAGAGAGAGATAGAGCGAGCAGAGACCTGCTGCCAAGCTGTGCTGCCGAAATTCCTAAACTTGTCCTGCTCGAGTACACTTTAAAAGCCAGCGCGCCGGCAAACTGGCAAAGCAAAGTTTAAGGACCTTTTGCCACAATTAAGCAAACGTTGCTAAATGAGCTACATTCTTGGACGGCCCCGACTAAATGAGCAATCAAAGTGCGACAAATGGAGGCAGGTGAGGTGAACTTTAGAAAACTTTCTAGGCAACTTGCCACGCCTAAGACTGTGGGTTAACTGAAGCAGCTCCAATAATGGCCGTTTATTTCGTAAATATATTGATCGAATAGCCATCGAGAAGAATACCCCGTCAAATAGTGACAAAAAGTAAAGCGCGAATGGGAACTGAATGGAATCCGCCTGCTAGTGAAATCACTTCTTTAGCTTCTTGAATAGGCGAGGTACCTTGAGGAATGAGTGTGACTTGCTCGGAAGTGGCTCACCAACAAAGTCTTCTGCCTGCTCTCGAAATATCTTGTCATAGCCCGGGCTGGCTGCTGGCAGCTTGAGCAAACGGGTCTTAGCTAGTTCGATCGGCTCGACCTTACATCTATTGGCAACCGGCTTGGGCGAGACAGTTGCCACATGGGAGTAAGGACCAGGGTTATGCGGACGTTTCTCTGCTTGCATGAGCAGATCTCCGATGTGCGGCGAATCAGCTGTTTTCGGAGTGGGAAAGGAATCTGAACGGCTGCAGCTTCTAGCCAGGGCAATGCTGGGGGTGGACTCTCCGCTCAAACAGGTCGTGGTGTGCATCTTTTGAAAGCTCGGCCGTGACTCGGTTTGGGCGATGGTCGTGGCACGCGTCAGAATGGGCGGCTGCAGGTCGAGGGAGAGGCTCGAGGTGGACTCCGAGATCGGGGCATCACGCTCAATGTCAAATGTGGCCTGGCGTGTGATGCGCAGTTGCTCCAAGAGCGACTCAGGCTCGACGGGTTCGTTCTGCTGCTGCTCGCGCAGCCGTTCCAGCTGAATGCGAATCTCTTCGATCCTGGACAAGTTCGGCGACAGATCCTCTGTGCTGACGGCATGTGCAATGGGTGTGTGAGCGTCAGTCTCCTGCGGCTCTGGACTCTTCTCCTCGCCCTTCAGCATGTCCAGCTGCAAGAGCTGCAGATCCGCCTGAAAGTCCAGCTCATCTTGAGCGTCCTTCTCCGCCTCCGTCAAGGGCTCCGTATCGTAAGCCGGTCGCGTGTGCTCCAACCAGGGCAGCACTGCGCACTGCCGCTTGATGCGCTTCATGCACTTCTTCTCGCGCTTCGACAGCGCGATGTCCAGCTGATGGCGACTGCGAGCACAGACGCCGTCGACTAGGATGAACGGCATGCCCGAGCTGTCGAACTGGGCAAGGTCCTCCAAGCCAGCGAGCCGATCCATGGGAGCGTCATTGCTGTATGCTTTGTCGGCCATAGTTGGCTTGCTTGCCACAGTTGTGTGGCTCAGCTCCATGGCCTCGGTCTTGGTGCCCGTGCGGTTCTTCTTTTTGCTCATTGTGGCTGCGGGCAGGTGGCAGCAAAGCGTCATTCAATTGCCTTTTGGCAGCTAAATGCAAATCAAATTTGTCGCTCAACGAGCGCCACATATGATAAATGATTTTCACGTGCTCTCATGCCAGCTGGCGCACTCATTGCATTTGATTTGCATTTAATTGCAGCGGAAGTAATGTGAGACGTGTCTAGACGGCATCATCCGCTCGCCTTGGTGACTTACCTGAACGGCGGATAGTTCCCACTGCTGTACTTCGAAATTTAAATCCCTGTAAAGCTCTCCGGCAAAAATCAAATTGAAAGGGATATAAAAAGTTTCCTCAACAGAAGAATAAACAGAGAGAGAGAAAAAAAAAACACAAATTTGTTGCTTTAAGTCCTCAAGCGTCCTTTGAGGCCAGGCACTTGTGGCTGCCAGGCGCCTGCTGCTTGGCTCCTTCGGATTTGTGGGCGGCGCAATCCGTACAACAAAACTTTACTTTGCTCTGATAAAAACTTAAATGTTACAGTTGCCGCGAGCTGCCGTAAATGCTTGATATCCCCAAAAGGTTAACAGTTTTGGCTGCTGCCGCTGCCGCTGCTGCCACTGCTGCTGCTGCTGCTGCCACTGCTGCTGGTGGTCCCGGCTCTGCTCTGCACTGCTTGACGTTCGCTTTGTTTACAGAATTTTTATATTTTTGTTGGCTTTTTGTTTTTCAGTCTTCTTTTTTCGTTTATTTTTGAGAATTTTGCAAAACCACAAGAATTGAAGTGCCCGCTTCACAAACACAGCAACACAATCAGGCACGCACACACACACGCACAGATACGCAGATCCGCACTCCGTGCGTGTCCTTCTGTGGTCTGTGTAGTCTTCTGTTTCTCAGCCGCTGGCTGCTACATTAGGCGAAGCGAGCGCAATCGAATTTGGTCATTTAACAGGAATAATTTGTATTTAATGAATTATATGTATGTATATATGCCAGCAGGTCGGAGCCCTTAAGGCTTGAAATTTGAAATGACATAGCCAGCACAGGGTCTCAGCCTTGATGTCAACAAACGGCCAGCCTACTTTGTTAAAGCGAGTTTACCAATTAATATCGTAAGTAGTTCATCTGCTTCTCTGCTCTCTTACATTCCGCTTACGATATTGGGTGTACTAAAAAAGCTTTCGCATCCCGCCTGCCGAGCCATTTGCCGAAGCTGACAAGAAACACGAGCCCGACGCTGCCGCAGCCGCAGCCGATGCCGATGCCAATGCCTGCTGGCTCGGCATCCATGCCAGGAGTCGCTCAGTCTGAATCGGTTGGGTCTACGGCACGGACGTGACAGCGGCTGGCGTTAACAATACTAACTGCGGTTGTGGATTTAGCTGCCAAATATCAACGTCAATTCGACAAGTTGGCATTATGCCGTACGTACAACTCGACGCAGCACTGCCGCGTTCACGTCAGCCTGTGCACTCGGTCACCTGTCGGGGCGTGAAAATTATTAGTGTGCGATTGTTTTCGAAGTGCGCGGGCAATTAAAGTTTCAGAGCCGTTGACGAGTGAAGTCTAATGGCTGCTTGATGCAAGTCACGACATAAATTGCATGTCCAGGCAGTTAAACGACATGAAAAATACGCAGAAGAGACGGCTATAGTGTGTGCATGTGTGTGTGTGTGTGTGGAAAATACAGACGTGTCAGTTACTCCAGTGGAATTCAAAGTACAACAGCAATAATTGGTTCAGTGGATCACTTCAAGAATATTTATCAAAAATGGAACTGACATATGGAACACTGACTGCCCAGAAGACTTAGCGGAACCAAGAACCAGAGCGAAATATGTAAGTATGTCGAGAATTACTCCAAGTAATTATACTTCAAAGTTATCAGTGGGCAACTGTACTTAAGTTAGTCTGTGGGGAGTCAATGACCCCAATGTAGGTAAACAATTGGATAAACAATGCATGGAAGTGTGTAAATTATTCGGTTACTTCGCCACACAATGGCAGATAAACAATGGGCGCTGGGCAGTATTGTGGGTATTGGCACAAAGGCAAACAGTTTAGCGTCCCGTCATAAATTCAATTAAAATTCAATCGCAAATATATGCAAATTAAACAAGGGTTAAGCCCGCCATTGAAAAACAGCAAACAATGTCTGTTGTGTGTTTGAATTGAAAATCTATATACCTCCAAGTACATATGCATAGACATACACAAACATACGCGCCCCAAAGTATGCTGTGTCACAGGCCATGCCCCGTTCGGGTTGACTGATCAAGTGGCGCCTTATTAACATTTCCAGCATTACGGAAATATGCAGGCCCCAAGGCATCGGCTTCAGTTACGCTCTTTCAATATTGTTCCTGCCACTTGAGCGAAACTTTAATTTTTTTTCACACTTTACTTGCCAAAAACTTTTGAAGTTTTGTGTCATTTTTCTTCAAGACTTTACGTCTCAAGCATTTCACTTTGACATTCTTCTTTTTGTGCTGCGAAAGTTTTATCTTTGCAAATTATACGCATTATCAAGACCTCAACGTTGCCGTCGAAAAGTTTGAGTCTTAATTGGCATGCCTTGAAAGCCGGCTATGTATATTTTATTATTTATTTATTAATACCCAGTGAGGATTTTTAAATTACTTGAATTATTTATTAATTAATAGTTGATTGGTTCAAAATTTAGCATAAAATAAGTGAGATCTAATTTAATTATTTTTAAGTTAATTTTTTTATTCACCTAGTTATGAAACTAAAATCAATTTTTAATTTTCCTACAACTTTGCACATTTTCTAAATGAACTACATTAAGCCGAGTTTCCTTTTGGCACTCTCCTTAATTTCCGGCTTAGAAAATTTCCGAAAACACGCCGTCATCATCTCTTCCCTCTCTCTCTCTCTCTCTCCCGCTCCTGTCTTAACTTCCCCTGCTGTTTTTCATCAGATATGACTTTGCGCGTAATTTTAGCTTCACTTTCACCAGAGACAAAAGAAACGGCAGCTGTTTGCTTTTAATTTTAAAGGCAACTCTGCTGCAATATGTTATACATCAAGTTTACTTAAGGTCTCACACAACAAAAATAATATGAAGCAAAATAAACGAGCTCATAACTCATACGCCGTGTGGGCCGCAGCCAACTCGCGGCTTTCCCCCGCAAGCGTGCGACTTTATTCTTTATTTCTTCCCTTAAATTTATTCCCATGCCCAACAAATCTTGTATGAAGCAGTTAATTCTTTGACTCTGCCTGCCTCTGAGCTGCCGGTGCGGTTAGCCAGCGGCACTTTTGCTGCAACCGCAAACTGTTGGCATAGGAATGTGGCGAAATAGCTGCTGTGTGTGGGGATTGATATAAATAACTAGTTTTACACATTTATAGTAATGAATATGAGGCGCCCTTAAATCGTCAGTTATAAATTTTGATAATTAATTAGAGCTCGCAGCTAGCCGAAAAGGTGTCCTGCTCTTATCTCAGTCAACAATTGTTGTTTGCTTAATATGTGCACAAACAACCTGTCGTGCCCTGAGCCTCGCCTTGCTTTAAATATTGCAATAAGTAACGAGGCTGTGACAAAGAAATATAACGAGAGATTAGAGCTCACCCCATCCTTGTTGCCAAGGTCCACGAGCAACGGAACTGTGACAAGGAGTCACCGAATTCCGACGTGCCTCTGCCACAATTCAGCTCAGCATTGTCAACAGAGTTGCCGTGCTGCAGCTGTTGCTGTTGTTGTTGCTCTCGCTGTTTGTGTGCTATGTACTCATTTATATTTTATGAGCCTTGCACCTGAAACAGCAGACATAGACACACGCCAAGGCAGAAGAAAAAACTCATACGGCGGTGCCGGCATTAAAAATTAAAGTTTTTCTTGTCATTGAGTGTCGCTTGCTTTTATCGCTGCCTGTTCGCTCTCTACTCATATCATATATCGTGCATATAACATATACGCCTTCACTCTGCTATTCTTCTATAGACGTTGATTTGATTTCAGTCCATGCGCATGGGTTATGCCACATAGCCTAGAAGTATTTGAGAATTTTAGACTTAAGTGGTAAACACTTAACAAAAATTAATAAGTATAAAATTTTAAATAGGCAAAGAGCACTAAAGGAGGTGGTGGAAAGTTGATTGTGTGCGTGCGGAAATGGCAAAGTGTGTGTACCTGGGCATAGGTAATCATAATTTATTTATTTTATAGTTAGTTTAGGCATGGATAATTTTCTACGTTGACGCACCCATAAAAAGGCCATAAACACTTTGCCCACACACTCACACACACACGAAGCAGAGACTTTTTTTTTTATATGTATGCAGCCATAAACTGGTTTTATTTTGCAAGCATAATACTTATCAAGCGAAACGTAAAAATACGTACATTCATGTTTATTTAAGAGCCACTGCAACACACATACGAGTATCCTGTGTATCTTTTATGAGCTTACGCCACTATATTTAACCACTGTGTGGGCTCGACGCTGCCGGGGACTGACCCAAGGGTTAACCATAAAATAGAATATATAGCCAAGGTCTAGCAGTTCCGGATGTCGCATTTCAATGAGCATTCGTAAATTTGTAGCAGCTGCGCCGTTTCCAACTAGAATCCAATGAATAGTTGAATGCAAAAACTATCCTTGCTGCAAATGAAGCCCAATTGTCTTGTCGCTAATAACTTGTTGCCAACAATTAACATTCAACAATTTTAATTAAACAATAGTTTCATTTGGATTTCAATAGACTCAAATTCACGTATTTACAACAAAACTAATAATAATAATACATTAATTATTATTTTTTTTAAGTTTATTAATTAAACTGTATTCAAGACCCAATCAAAAGCATAAAGCACAAAATGTGACGTTTTTATTCAGTTTTAAATGTTTCATAAATACAATAAATATGAATAAGTGATATAAAGAGGAAATTTTATGCTTTTGTCTGTTTTGGAATCACAGTAAAATGTTTTTTTATTAATAAAGGATTTATAGAAAACTATCAATGACATTTACTGGTTTGTTTTTTATTCACTCTAAATGAATGAAGTATTAATAAAGAAATGCTTAAAAGCATATACATATATACTTGTATGTATGTAATTTTATATTTCATAAAGAAGGAATTCTTATATAAAGGATAAAAATAATGATACTAATAAATGAAATAAATAATAATAAAAATAGTGCAAAATAATAATAAAAAAATAATGCAAAAAATACTTAACTTTAAATAAAAGGAATAAAATTAAATAAATAAATAAAATAAATAATTAAATAAATAAATAAATAAATAACCAGATTAGCTTACATTTTATTAATCCACAATATTTTCAGTAGAAGATGAACTAACATAACACAATTTTACTTCCCTTACAATATTGTATATTATATGCAGAAACTACATTTAGGTTAACAAATTCTCATTTAAGAATAACCGAAATGTTGATTAGCCACAGTAATATAATAGTTACATTAAACAGATTACCCGCTGGTGCTCGAATGACTGACGTTCAGGCAATTTAAGTGATCCACTTAATTTTACATGCGCTGCTAATGTAAAATTTATATTTAAATTGGATTAAGTGACAAACATTTTGACTTGTGCCAACAACAATTTGGCCAGCTGAATTTTAATGTGATTTTTGGTAATGCAGCTTTCGGCCAGGCCAGCAATACGAGCAGCGACAAATATTTGCACCCCACAGCATAAGCCCATGCACTCAAATTGTATGTATGTGTGTGTGCGTGTGTGTGTGTGTCAATTTGTTAATTTTGAGTGTGGGTCCCTAGGCGCATTTGAAACCAAAATCAATATTATGCACAAATAGGCAGCAGCTTGACATCTTTGACATGTGGTCAGAGAGTGCAAATGGGATTTCGTGGGTCAGCGTATAAATTTAATTTGTCAGCTCATAGCGGCTTGCGCATTAAATTATAAATAATTGATGTAGCACGCAGTCAATTTTTTAGCATTAATTGTCCTCTTTATGATGCACCAAATAATAGCAGATAACTAAATATTTGTGTACATATATGTGACAGTTCAAATAAGCTCACACCCGGAATGAGGCACATGACCCCAAAAAGTTGGGGCAACTATCTGAAAGATAAACAACTGCAAACTCTCGGCCAGACCAAAGGGACAAGTTGTCCGGTTGCTTTTGCTTGTTTTACAATAATAAAGTGCGGCTGCAGCTTTAATAACTTTTGCAGCAGCCACAACAAAGTTCCTGATGAAGACGACGACGACGACGACGACGGCGACATAGATGAAGCTCTGGACAGTAGAAAAACAAGCAAAAACAACAGTTCGACTGTGGCACTGCAGCCACAGCCCCAACCAAAGGCGGGACATAGAGCAAGCATATATAGTATTAAGGGGAAAAAGCAGTCCACAGAATTGCGGCAAGGCAATGGTTAAAGTGCTGTTCACCCTAAATTCGTAACTTCCCTCGCAAAGTGCGAGAAATGAATAACATTTGCTTGAGCAATGTTTGCACATATTTAAACAAGTTAGGAATTAGCCAACTTTACCTGGAAATGCAGCGGAAAAATGCAGCTCGCTGCTCGCTGCATTACCTGAGTCTTATAAGTAGCACCAAATTGGGAAGTAGTGCCGCCGCAGCACCCGCTAGCTCCTCTGCGTGCCACCCAGTAAGAAACTTTCGTCGCGCCGTGTCACGTAGTTGCGCCCGTCGCGCAACCCAATTTGGCCAAAATCGCGCTTTGAAATGCAAAATGGCGGCGCTGGCAAAGTTTTTACTGCATAATCGCAGGCGCAGCATTTTTCGTTCCCAGATAACAACAAAAGCAATTGGAATACAAAATAAACTTTCGAGCTGAAGACTCTACAACTTTTGCGAGACTGCGCATAATGTGCCGCCGGGACACGGGAACGGCAATAGGAACTAGAACAGACAAATTCATCTGCGTCTGTGGGCAAAAAAAAATAAAGAAAATATCAGCAAAGTTTCAGTTGCCAAATGCGAAATGAATGAGAGAAAGAGCGCAGAGTCGAGGGAACATCAACTCGACTTCGACATCATCGCTTTTTATTTAACGTTTAGATTCTCACTCCAGCCCTACTTGCAGTTTTTTTTTTTTCGCTTTTTTCGTGTTTGTCCTTTGTGCTGCTTGCTGATTTGTATTTCATTTAAAAGCAAAAGCACGACAAATGTTTCTTGATTTAGAAGCCAGGGACTTGGGGACCCCCGTCAGGGCACAGCCACATTTATTTCCTTTTACTTTTCTTTATCATTTTTTTTTTTTCGAATTCCATATTGATTTTATGACGATTCGCAAAGGCCTTTTTAATGTTTTTTCATTTGGAAGCAAGGCCAAATCAGCTTTGTATATTTGACATTTGAAAGTTCTTATCATAGACTGGGGCTTCAGACCAGTTATCTCAGCTTCAATCACTGATAAGCATGCTTTCGTATCTGTCTCCATTCAACAATGAGCTGTCACTGCTTTTGACAAGTCTCTTGTAGTTCAGAGGCCTTTGAATGTCGACGAAAATCGATAATAGTTAAACGGCTCGTGGCCAAAAATAATTCCATGCCATTCAACATAATGGAGCTTGCCTTTGTGCCCGTAAAAGCCAAGAGAAAGCCAAATAATTGATAATAATTGAATGTGTGTGGGTGCAAGTCATGGAAAACTGTTGATGACCCAAATAAATGTCAGTACTCGTTTATTTCATCAAAACTTTTGTATATTTTTGATATAGCAAATCTCTTAAGGTCTTTATTAAATTTATTTCTGTTCTGTTGCAGCTCTCAACGCGCATTTAATGAGACACTGCCAGTGTCTGCATATGGGACTCGAGCCAACTACAAATGGCAACAGGCTGAAATTTATGCGAAAAGTTGCACAAAGTAATAAGCGCACAAAACAAAACGAAACGAAACGAAAGGAAGTGAAGCAAAACGAAGCGAAGCAAAAGTAAACAGCAATGCCAACAAATCCCATAAACAAAAGGCGCACAAACTGAAACGAACAACTATCAAATAGGGCTCACCAAAGAAAATCACTTAAATCGGCAGGAAAACAGATTACGAGGAGACGAGGCGACGACGCCAAGGACGCCAAACGCATTACAATTTCCACCCAGAGCAGGACTACGTATCATTAGCTGGGCATAGGGGATTATTATGTCATAAATATGAAACACATAAGCGATATACGCATCATTGTGCTCATTTGCTGTTTGCTACAAGGTGAGTGCCACATTTTCCAATTGAATGAGAACAGGTAGCTGACGATGCGAGCGCTGTCGACGCTCGGATCTCGGCTCGGCTTGCCAGTCAATAAAAAGCAAATTGTAGATGCCGCAGCACAGTCACTTGTTGGGTTTTAACACCTCAAAGCACACACACTCATACACTTATCTCTCTGCCTCACAAAATGGCTCAATCCGTGCCTGTTTCGTTCGCTTATTTCGATTATTCGCCCTGTGAGACGCACGTGCTGCGTTTACAAATAGCCGCCATTCACTGCGACAGCGAAAGTTGCGTGCCATTTGAAGTTTATTTTAAATAAAACAAGATAATTTTCCTAATAGAATATCTGCCTGCCTGCCTGTTGAGCTCAGCGCGGCCAGGTAGCTCGCTCGATGGTTGCTGCTGCTGCTGTTGACATTTGTAGGTCGCAGCTCCCTGCAGAAATCAGCTATATGCATGCGCAAATGTTGTGGCTGTGGGGCATGCGGCAACAGCAGGGAGTTACAGCTGCTGCTGTTACATTGGCATTGGCATAAATTCCAATTCATTTTGCAAATATGTAATCGCACTCAAAGTGCGCACAAAACACACATGCACTCCCTCTCTCGCTCTCACTCTCTCTCACTCTGTGCTCACACATTGGCTATTTCGTGCTGCGTCAGCAAATTGTGTGGCGAACGTGCGGCAGTTGCAACCCATTCCATTCCCAGTGCCCAGCTCAATTTGTAAAGGCGAATTTTCTTGCATTCCCTCTGTCCCTCTGGCTGCGTATTGCATATTAGTGCAACATTTAATTTCAAGCGCCTTCAAATGATATGCGACTGCTGAAAATTCCAATTCGCATTACTCATACGACCCGTGGCGCGTGCTCAGTGCACTGCTGCAGTTATTGTTATTACTTTTTCAATTATGTGCGAGCTTAGCAACAATGACAGACCGCCCCGCATTCGGTGTTATTTCGCTTTTAATTTCACATCGCTTGTCAGACGCTTGTTGCAGTTGCAATTGCAGCGCGTTGCGAGTGTTATGTTATTCATAAATGCTTTGCTGCAAGTCAAGAGTACTTCGCAGGCACAGGCATCTGTACATACATACATATGTACATGCATTTACATCGCTCGTCATGTCAGACCCGTTTAAAGTTGCATTGCAGCAGCAATTGTTGGTGTTGTTGTTGTTTTAGTTCTCCCTGTTTGTGTTTGCGGATTTGCGCCAGATTTGTGTCAACTTGAATACATCAGAAGCGTTGCACAGACTCAGCTGCTTTGTTGTTGCCGCTCGTTGTGGTCCCAAACAAAAATGCACACACAATCGCCCCGCAACGGGGCGTATGAGTAACGTACGTACGTATGTGTGACGCTGCCTTTGAGCCAGCTAAGCGACTGAAAACTGTTGCACACTTTTGTTGTTGCTGTTGCTGTTGCTTGTTGTTAAACTAGTTGTTGTTACTGTCGTTGTTGTTGTTGCTGTTGCTGTTGCTGATGAGTTGCCGCACCACAGGCCACCATAGAATTTTCCACCATTGCCTTTGTTGCCGCACGCTTACCGAGTCAACCTAACCTACAGGCTTTTTCATTAGAATTTCCCTTTGAGAGCAGTTTTTTAATAGAATTGTTTGCGAATACGGCGCAAGGCCACGCCTGACCAACAACGAAGTGCGTTTTTTTTTTTTTGTTTTTTCAGCAAACTAATTGTTGTGCTAGCACAGTTTAAAGTGTCAATAGCTCGCTGCCTGCATGATAAATGTACATGTTAATTTAGTCTAGACACTTTTATCTGGGCAACAGCAACGCGACAACGAGGGTTGCCCGAGCCTTAATGAGCATCACTTTTAATTGCCTGGCATTTGAATATCTGCCACAGAATTCGCTGTTGTTCTTGTTGCTGCTTCTTGAACATTCTGACAGTTTTCAGTAACTTTTCGCTGATAGGCTGCCAAGCCAGGGCCATTGTCTGCAGCAGCCCTGGCCCTGGGACTGACAGAATTTCGCGCTAAACGCTTTGCCTGATAAAAACTTTATTTTTTTTGTATTTTATCCCGACTGGGTCGGCATAATTGCTCGGCTGGCATAGAACTCATTAGTGGAGGAAGTAGGGATTGGGGCTCCTCTATCTCCCTATGTCTCTCTCTCTCTCTCTCTCTCTCGCTCTCAGTGGCACGCTGGCTGACATCGCGGCGGTCCAAGTAAGCCGTTCCGATAGATTTTTGGCCAGTTTTATCTGCTAATGGCGCGCTTCATTATGCGCTATTTGGTAACGCACTTCACCCTGGGATGCTCTGGGCTGCTCTGGACTGCTCTGAGCTGGTGCTCCATTGTATTTTCATCAGTTAGGCCATGTTATCGAATTATGTTAAGCATTCAGTTTCAACAGATGGCTGATGGCGGGTCACAGGTTCACGTGGTCCGCTGAGAGCCGTCTGATTAAATATGCATTAATGAGCGAAATTATCATACATGCTTAATCATGTATTCCGTATAATGCTTTCCGTCCGATTTGTTGTCCCAGCTGCTGCTCGGGCCAGCGCATAATTAATTTACTTAGAGTGTCTCGGAATGGTGCATGGAAATCGAACCTCTAATTGATTAAGGGTTTGCTTCCTTCCAGCAACAGAATCCCCCTTCACACGTGTACGATTCATAAACTATTTTGTTTGCTTCGACGTGCAGTCACCCCGTACTTGCATTTTAATCAGACTTTATGTGGCTTTGCCCATTGTAGTCCAGGCGTTTTGTCCCTGTCGCCTCTGCAGGCGACGCTATTGTCTTTGGCTCTCGCTTTGTTGGTGTCGCTTTAGCTGCTGCCAGTGCCGCTGGATATGGATATGCGGGTGTTTGAGCATTTCCCCTTTTAATTAATGTACTTTGTAATGTAGCCGAAATGACATGTGTTTGCTTTGTCAGCGCTGCTGCTTTGTGTCAATGTGTGGATACTTTTCTTGTTTCTTCTGCTACTTCCAGCTGCTAACTGAGTGGCTCCAGTGGCACTCGAAGCACTTGCAACTCGTTGTTAGATATTCAAATTTCTCAATTTAATTACGTGTTTTCGGCATTAATTTTTGGCACGTGCCTCATTAATGCCGAATTTAATTATTCGAAATGAATTTAGCTACTGCAAACAATGCCCACGCGAACCTTTTAATGCCGCAGCCTGTGGCATGCTAAGCAGGAGCTGTAAAATGTTGCCGATGCTTCTCAGCCAATTGCCGAAAATTGCACAGTTTAAGGCAGGAGGCGGGTGGCGACTTGGCTGTTGGCTTTAATAGCCAGTGAAGTCCACTGTTTGTGGGCTATTAAATTATTTATTTCAAAAAAAAAAAAGGGAAGGACAACGCGGTGAGCTGATTTTCTAATTTTACGCTGTATGAACATGGCCCCGGCGTGAGCGGGCGAGGATGCAAGCCAATATCCTGTTGGCGCTCGTTCGCTATTTGCAATTTGTGGCCAGGATGTGCGACGCGGCAGCCGGCGTCATAATTTTACAAAGGATTAAGCGCGATTACGTAGTCAGTTATGAATATTTACGAGCCACCCAACGACAGGATAATAAAACAAGGGCAGCATTAAAGATTGCCTACATGCGTTTACATTCGTTTTTTACCCAGCAGTTTTTTTGCACATAAATCATGACATACAAAAATTGTCAGACTGTAGCCGCAGCCTCACTAATCCGGCATTCATTTCAGTTGACATTCCGGCATTCATTTCACAAATCAATTACGTGAATACGCAATGAAAACGCAACGAAAACTAAAGCCGCAATCAAAGCTTTATGCCTCAAGACAAATTTGCAGCTAGTTTATCTAAATTCCTCTGCTCTTCATCTTTAGGTTTCGCACTGGGCGTGCGCATGATCAAAGTCTCCATACCCGCCTTCAAGATGCGAGGCGAGTCGGCCTTCATGGAATGCCAATACGAGCTGAATCGCACGCACGGTCCACAAATCATCAGCACTGGGCATCGGGAGCGCGATCGCTACACGCCGCATGCCGGCAGCGAGCTGCACTACGTGGACTCGGCGGACGTTGAGAGGCAGCCGGTGCACCGGCGCGCGCATCAGGGCAAGCGACAATATCAACAGCGACGACAGCAGCATCAGCCAATGGCCATGCGCCAGTATCAGAGCCAGAGTCTGAGTCAGACGGAGCGACACAATCCTCCGCTGCCCGAGAAGTCGCCCTATGGGCACAGCGTGTACAGGGGCAGCGCAGCGTCCGGTTACCTGGGTGGGCGTGTCGGCGCCAGTGTGCACAGCAGTGGTGCAGGTGGAGGTGGCAATGGTGTGGGTGGCAGCAGTGGCTCCAGTGGATCCATTTCCTATATGCCCGACTTTGGCAGAGACGATCGATACGATGAGAGCGACGAGGAGGTAGAGGAGGAGACGCAAGAGGAGGGCGAGTCGCTCTACGCCATCAAGTGGTACAAAGACAACGAGGAATTCTATCGCTATGTGCCAAAGGCGCGTCCGCCCAAGACGAGCTACCGCGTGGACGGTGTGCGCGTGATTGTAAGTATGCGGGCGAACAGAGCTCAAAGAAACCCATTAACCAACACCCCCACCTCTCTCTCTCTCTGCCTTTGTCCCTCTGCCAACAGGAGGAGCTATCTGATGCCAGTCGCGTGCTGCTGCGTGGTCTCACCCTCAACTCGACTGGCCTCTACCGCTGTGAAGTCTCCGCCGAGGCGCCAAACTTCTCATCTGTGCAGGGCGAGGGTCGCATGGACATTGTGTGTAAGTCAAGAATAATGAAAATTAAAAATGAAAAATAACTAGAAATACTATCAGAAACATTTTCGCATTCCATCTAATGGACAAGCAAATATTTTGCAAACAAATTTCCTTTTGCAATTACAAACAAATATTGAATTGGTACACAGACCACGTTTATTTATTTATGCATATTTCATAGCTCTGGCATTTGGCTAAAGAATTATACGGACGGAGGGATATAGAGAGAGGGAGATTTGCAAACAGTTTTGATATGTTTGCCATTTCAGTTTGGGATGTTGACTTTCAGTTCGTCATATTTATTGAAATTTATGTTTTTGTCTGTGTAACTAATAGATGGAATAAACAAAAATGCCATTAAATGTATGTTCGAACAATTGAAACATTGAGAAACTCAGATATAGAATATGATTAAATGTGGATAAAGAGATTGCATTGAAAACTGAGTGGATTTCTTTCTGTTTGAGTTGAGGGTATCTGCTAGTCCAGCACTTTTAATTTAAACAAAAGCCATTGTATCATACATCACAAAAGAATACACTCACACACACACGCACATCTGCCTTACAGTTAACTCGTTTTTTTTTCGTGGAACGGTAAATGCGGCTTCCTGAGCTGTTTGTATTGCGTTTGGAATGCTTTTAAAAGGCCATTCATAAGCTTTAGTTCTATAACAGCATTTTTCTGTAATTTCACGATGTATATTTTTTATTGTTTATCGCATGCACTGCTGCTATATGCTCTCCATAAGCTTCTTCTTCTTTTTTATTTGCCCATATGCATGTGTATGGTTTTTGTATTTCGTATTTGTTTAAGCCAAATGGCCAGTGCCAGTGCCACTGCCAGTGGGCAGGCCATAAAGGGGAATATGGTAAACGGCTATTGGGCGCCAGTGGAGTATGTCGGGCTATATCAATACATTCGGCATGGCGGCAACGGTCGGCAGTTACGGCAGCGGCTCCCAGCCGGCGATTTATAAGTTGAAATGCCATTTTAATGGATATTTCCGCAGCATGGCCGCGAACAACATATTTTGTGTTTGTTGCCAGTTTATGTGGGAATTGTTGCTTTGTTATTTGTACTCTTTTTCATAAGAGCTTAAAAACAATTTGAATGGCTTTGCTGCGGGTGTTGTTAATACTTGCAGTGCGTTTTTATATTGCATTTACATGAAGAAAGAAATACTGCAAAAGGCAAACTAAAATATATGTAAATAATGTAGCTTATAGCATTATATATATTTTTTTTAGCATTTAAATATATCCGTTTAATATTTATTCGGACCAAGTTACATTCTCTTTTTAAATATTTTCTAAAATAAAATAAAATGGAATTATTATCTGAAAACTTATCTCTATCCTTGCACATCCATCTCTTGCAGTTCTGCCCCGCGACGGACCCCACATTCGAGGGCAACAGCACCAGTATCAAATCGGTGAATACTTAACCTTAAACTGCACATCGGGGAAATCACACCCAGCATCGCATCTACAGTGGTTCGTCAATGACCAGCCGGTAGGTGCCACGCACAAGGATCCAACTTGTTCTGCTACCTTTTGCCATGTTTTTTCCGTATCTCTTTTGTGCCCTGGCGCGACTGTTGGCTCAACGAAAAATGTTGAAATTATGCATACAGTAAATATTTAAGCTGCTAACAATGAACTGAGAGGGCGGGGGCGAGTGGGTGTGGGAGAATAGTGTCCGAATCCTTGGCACAGCTGCCAATTTAGGTGCCAGAAATGATTTCACGAGCAAAAATCATGCTCAGCTCTGCCTATGTGCAGGGCGCGCCCAAACCGCTGCAGTTAGGGCCTTGGAATGGTTTATGGCATGTTGTTAGTTGTCTGTAGGTGTAGCTGGGCCATCCATCTAGCTGAAAGCTCGTTACACGTTTACCGTAGCCGGAACACAAAACGGCTGCTGCCGATCCGGGGCCGAGGCATGAGGAATGAACAGCCAGCCAGCCATGGGTCTAGGGCCCACTGCATTTTATAGTCGTCGACTACATGCTACTCAAATTGTGTGAACCGAGGCGTTAAGGTACGAGTTAGTTCATTGTACCATGGTGCTGCTACTGCTACTGCTCCTGCTCCTGCTGCTACTCCTGCTGCAGAGCTCGGCCGTGCCTATGCCGTCCACTTGTGTAAATAAGGAAAAAATCAATAGGGACGATTAGGCACGTCTTTCGGTTTATATGCAGCTCGACAATGGGGATTACTTATTGAATAACATTTGTCTGGCAGCTACTCACTATAAGCGCCTGTTAAAAGCTGATTATTTATTTTTTCTCACTGTGACACGCCCCTCTTCGGCTATCAGCTCCCACAACTAACAATAACTGTCCGTCAGGTGGAGAAATTTTGCAATTTTGAAAAAGTTTTAATTCCAGCTCGGCCCTCGTTCTGGCCGCAATGTGTCCTGGGCTCTGACTTGGTATGCGGAGGGCATTTTAAATGCCTCCCCGCCCCTATTCGGTGGGCGCTGCCTGCCCAGCAGCGTGTCCTTGTTCAGTGCTTTGTATCAGGACACTGGACAGCTGCTGGCATTTTCAGCATGTTTGTTATGTTAGATCCGAGCCGGGGCACAATTGCGACCGTTTGAGCCTGTTTAATTTATGCGTGCCAAGTTTAAACTCTCTTTCAACTTTGGAATTCGGAAGCTTTGTAATTTTTATGGCCGCCATAAAGCATGGCAAACCAATCGCATAACAAATGGCAGCCATTTCGCTCGCAAAGTGCCAAAGTGCGCCGCCCGCATCCACAACTCCAATTCAAACTCAATCCAAATCCAATATATGAGCAAAAAGTTCGAGCTATTTATTTTAGCATTTCACATTTTGTATCTGCAGTTCGCATTTCTCTTGTTTATGGCGTCGGGGTCTGAGCAAATGACTTCAATTTTTTCACCCCCAGTATGTGCGGCATAGTGTGGCGTGGGCTGTTCTCCCCGTCCCACGCCCCTCGCAATTCGCTGTCAACGGCAACATTGAAAGGGAGAAATTATAAAGCGTTTTCCTGTACTCGTAATTGCAACCTTCAGCACAAACAACTAAGCATGCCGGGGCGAACAAAAGAGCCATCTATGTACGCTCTTTCAGCGCAGCCCTTGAGCGATGGCCAGACACGTCTGACATACCCCGGCGTATACTTGTTGTCGTTACTCATACACAATGAGTGTGTGTGTGTGTGCCTCTAATAACAAAATGCAATGCGGGCATATACTGGAACGTCACTTAACTTTCACTCAGTCACACAGGGCGCATGGGTGGGGAAGTGAATGGCAGGAGGAGAGCATCAAATGTAGCAAATGACTAAAAGCTTTGCATCTGCGTCTGTCTGGTCTTTTCTTGCAGATACTGGAGGAGCAATACCTGCACAGATACAACGATATCGTGCACAAGCACGGGCTAATCACCTCGATACTCGGCCTGCAGCTGGAGCTGGAGCCGCGACACTTCCATGACGGCGACATGCGCGTCAAGTGCCTGGCTAGCATATCGCCGGTGCTGTGGAAGGGCGGCCGGGAGAGCATTCTACAGCGTCGTCCTGGCATTATTGACAATCGCGAGACAATGCTGCTGGGTGAGTGGCCACAGTGGGTGTGCTTTAACTGGCAGCACAATTTTAATTGCTTTCTCCTGCACAGTGCGTAGCGATGCCGGACAGATTGAGAGCAATTTACTGCGCCTGCTGACCATCACCATCATCCTGGCGCGCATCAGCCGGTGGCTGCTTCAGCCGGAGCTGACCTAGGCTGGCTTCGGTTAAAGGAGCTAAGGGCGAACGCATGATTTTCGAACCGATTCAATTCAATTCAATTAAATTCAATTCAATTGCAATTGCAGAGCATCAAAGGTGATTTTGTATACTTAAAGTGTAATATCTTTAGTTTCTAAGCGATAACCGATAACAGGAAACTCCCCGGCAACCACTCAACTTGATGGCCCAATCAGTAAGCATAAGTGTCTGAATGTGTAGTGGTAACTCAAGGTAGAAAAAAAATATATGAAAGAAAGAGGAATGCAAATATATACTCACACACAGACAGATAATAGTTATAACAATCCATATTCAAATTGAAATGTGTCGTAACTTTAGACAAAATGTGGTAAATCTAGTGCAAATATCGTGTCTCTGGCATATACAGATACGCACACACACACAAGCGAAAGCGTAAAGTTTTCAAATGCATATCTATCATTAACTGTTAACTTTCAGACGAGAGGAAAATGGCAGACGGCAGACGGCAGACGGCGAGAGGAGCACCGTACGAAAATACGAAAATAGTTATTTAAATGTTTGCTTCATGTTCATGTGCACATGTCTGTGTGTTCACGTGTGCGTGTGCGTGTGTGTGTTCTCTGGCAAAACGAAATCCAATTAAAAACATTTTTGCTCGACAAAACGACGAACATCCAAAAACTACTCGCACAATAAAGGATGGTTGAGCTTAGTTTCCGTGTGTAAATAATTCAATGTAACCAAAGCGAAATTCAAACCTCAAATTTACCATACACTCATATATACACACGCACACACCCGCACCTCACGTGCGAATTGTCTGCGTCAGTACCGACATTCGCCTCATTTTCAATTTGAATACAAACAGACGAGAGACATGATTTGGTTAAGGCTGCTCCTTGCGGAGTAGCATAAAGAGTTCAAGAAACTTTCAAGTTAATTAAATTCAGTTGCCATTTGTTTGCCCCATTGAGAGTTGAATAATAATTTGTAGTAATCAGATTAGAAATAAGACTTCAAATAAACACAAAAGAGAAAAAACAAAAACAAAAACAAATGTCATCAAAATAATCACAATAATATTTAATGTACTCCATTTGGTTCTGATAAACTAGAAGGTTCAAACAATATATAAGTATATACGAAAATGTTATATGTAAATTAGTAATTAAGCTGTTTTATTTATAGCTAAGCGAGTTTGTTTCACTCATTCAAACTGATTTGAGTTTGTAGTGCGAATCGAAATAAAACTATGAAATGCCAAACCAAAATGCGGCAGCTAAAATAAATGAAAGAAATGTGTCATAAAGCAAGCTCATTGTGTCCCTCTCTCTCTCTCTCTCTCTCCAATTCCCTTTCTCTTTCCCTCTCTCTCTCAGTCTCTTCCCCCTTCTTTCTCTTGAGTGTTTGAAATATAAATGTGAAAACAAAGTTAAAGTCTTTTGTTTATATTGGGGTCAGGAATTTGGTCATGTTCTATGCTTTTATCTACAGCAGACACGCACTCCGGCTAAATAACAAACATTAACACCTGTATAAGCGCGGTAAATGTTATTTTTTTTTTTTTTTTGCAGCCCAGGTGTTGCTCCTGCGCCCGTTTTCTTGCAACAACATAAAAGATACTAAGTTTTTATGGCAGCAAAGTTAAAATACCACGTACAAATGTTCTGAGCAAACAAAAACCGCAATTCACGGAACACGCCAACACTCAGAAGACACACAGGCACACGCACACATGCATACACATGCACGAACAAAATGGCGGTGACGTATAAAAAATAGAATCGTGCATCCTTTTAGGTGCGCGCGTAAAAATATGAAGCGAACCAAATAAGAGTGCTCTTGCTCTAGTCGATCGGTTAGGCGACTAGCAGATACCCAGTAGGCTGATATCGAAATCATTTTACTCAGCTCTTATGGATGCATAAGAAAGAGGAGTTAGGTGGAGTGAAATGCCTCCTGCGCAGCAACTGTGCTTGAGCTGGACTTAAACTTCAATCCAGCTGAAGAAAAAGAAAAGTGAATTCTGAAAGTATATATTGTAGAATCGATGATAAATTCTGTAGATTTAACACAGCAATCAAAACATTAAATTGAAAGTATCTAGCTAAGACTATGTAAGAAACTCAAATTAAGGATTGTTCATAGATGAGTTTCTAATAAAATGCATATGATTTTCAGAAAGAGTTATTATGGCTTTAGCGAGATCTCTGAGTTCACAAATCAATGGGCTGGCAGATGGACTTGGCTTGATCAACTCGTCTCTCCGTCCGTTACGTGGTCTGCCACGCCTTCCCCTACCTGTTACATGCATATTCGCACAGCCAATAGACTCTGATTTTCCATTTTCAGCGGGCTCAGGGTATAACGAAATAAGACATAACATATTCCACTTGCACAGTCGCTGCCATTGCGGCTTTCCCAATTTGATGGCGCAGTAAACTTTATGCCATTCACAAAAATAGAAAGGCACGCAAAAGTTTCGCCGAAATGCGACAAAAGAAAAAAAAAAGAACGGAAGCAAAATTAATAAGAGTAGTAGGGGTAACAGGGGCAACTGGGGCGGAAAAGCACACGCAAAGCGCGTCAAGATATGCGCCATATAGAACAAGTCCAAGGCGTGTTTGGGCACTCTAATCCCTGGCTCTGGCTACACCTTGGCTGGGATGGTCAAGATTTATGTGTAGCATGCATTGCATAAACGGCGCCATTTAAATGCTTCAGTTCGAGGCGCTCAGTCTGGCGGCCTTTTAGCCCCTGGCAGGAAGTGGGCAAGAATTTATTGCCAATGATTGCATAGCTGATAAATTTATTTCGCACACACAACACAAGGGGCACGGCGCACACCTGGCGCAGGCGAGGAGAGTAATTATGACGCTCCGATCGGCACTCGTAGGGCAAGCGTGTGTGTGTGTGTGAGTGTTAGTGCGTGTGCGTGTGCGGAAGTACCTGACTAAATTGCAGCACTGCAAGAGAAATTTCATTTGATTTAAGTTGCATTAAATTAGTTTTCTTTTTTTTTAGTTTTTAGTTTTTAGCAGCAGTGATTAATGAGAGCACGGTAAATTTTGACGGACTCGTGGCAAGCGAAAAGTTTCTAATGAGTTTGAATATGCAGCAAAGCCATAATAAATTCTCTAGTTTTATTTCTATTAAAAACAGAGAGCGAGCAGTGAGTTTGGAATTTAATTGCTAGGAAAACAAATTAATTGTTGCGATTATTTGGTCGCCAGCATCTCTGCTGCAGTCGTCGAGTTTCTACATAAATTTGCTCCGAAATACCGTTCATGGATTCATATGCATAATTTATACATGCCCGAATTGCTTTATACTACTACTCTGCACTTATGCGCCCCTGGCCCAGTTTATCCATTAATGGCAAATCAATATGCGGAGCGAGGCAAAATGGAATGCAACAAAATAATATATCGACGATTGGGTAAAAAAGAGGAATACAGTTGAGACGAGAGGCCAGGCAAGCTGCACCCTAGCCCCTCCTCCGACCCCCGTCCACCTTTACTATTTGCATAATATTGATTCAATTTCGATGCGATACGGCCGGGCATGTTGTGTCCTATGAAGAGTGCAAGTGCCATCCGATGTTATGGGCATGCCATGGATTGTATAAATCAATCTCGGCCAGTGCAACTGCAGCTGAATTGGGCTAATGGAAGGCAAATGAAATATAAGCATGAGATGCCTGAATGCTCACACACATACGTACACACACACAAGCGCACAAAATCTGCATAAATTTAAGCCGAGCTCTGCAAATGGACTCAGCCAAAGGCCAGCATGCCGCTAACCGTTCCCAAAAACAATCGGCATAAGCGGCCAAAATCCTATTTGGCTCGCTATGGTAATTAGGAAATTCACGTCCAGCAAATGGAAAACGCAGCCAAAAGCATTCATGACATTCAATAAAGTCGACTGACTTCTGCGGATTCATAATGATCTGGACTGGCCTGGCCTGGCCTGGCTGACGACTGCCAGCAGCACTGTCGATGCCAAACGCTTACTGTTGCGGGCAGCTCGTCATCGTCATCGTCATCGACATCGACGTGGGCATGTGCATCGGCGTCACGTAGCTTGTCTATCGTTGACAAAGTGCCATTGTTAGGATGCCAGCAGCTGCTGCTGGACGCATTCTGCGTATGCGAAAGCCAAAAACACCAACGCGAGCATCACTTGCTGCCTCCCGCCTCCCGCCTCCAGTCTGCCGCCTGCTGCCTTCTGCCTGAGCTGACCAAATTAGTAGCCAAATGATGCAGTTTCACAGCCGACATTTTGGGGCACTCGTTTCGCGGATATTAAGTGGTCCAGGGCGATGCTCAGCACTTGCAGCTGTCCTTAATCGAGTCGCTTTCCAAAATTTCACTCTGCCGGCCCGCTCTGTAAATCAATTTTGTAGCAAGTGCCGGTCCGCAATTAGCCGGACCAATTATGCTGTCCGCCTGGCTGCACAGCAGCCAGCACAGAGCGTAGCTGCAATTATGCAGCAATTAGCATAAAGTGAGTAGTTCCACTGTACGACGGCCAAGGATCAACAAGTAGTGCCTATGGTAAAGAGTAAACAGTCTCTAATGACGATGTTGTCGATATTATTTATTAATATTTTATTATTCATGGAAAATGGGAAAGCAGAGTATGTGAATTTCGGAAAATATATGTAACATGCAAAAGGAGGCGTGGCAGACACGGACGACCAGCTGAGTCGAGCCTGGCATGTACGTCCGTCTGTCAATGAGTCTCCATCTCCATCTCTCCGCTCGTTCATCCACCTAACCGAACGTCTATCCGTTCCAGCTCGTTCCAGCCCGTCTTTCCAGATTTTACAAGTCATCCTAGTATTGTAAGCTATCGAAAATGAACTAGTTCTTTTGAATTTCAGTTCAGTGTGCCATTTAATTTAGCCCACGGGCTCCGGGCTAATGACTCCGACGCTTTAAAAACTCCAGCTCAAACTTTGCAAATCGATTAGAGGAGGAAATTGCTTTGATTTCAGCTTATTCAACTCGGAATATGGCAAAGTTTTATGCATTTTCTAGCAGCCTCACTACCAGCTATACCTGCGCTGTGATATTTTCCATTGTGCTTTATTGTGGTACTCAATCGATAAGTTTGTTGTGGAAACTTTTGCTTTTCCTTGCAGCATCGGGGCATTTTTCTAGGCTCCCCTCAGGCTAATGCTGTTCATTAGGCTCAAGCACAATGGCGTCGAGTGCGTCTTAACTGGCAGCCTTTATCTGGAATACATAAATTCATGCCTAGACGCCGTGCGGAGGCAACTTTTTAATGGCCTGATGTGTGTGAAGGCTTCTAATTAAGACATGCTCGGAGAAAAATGTTTCACTGGCACGTAAGCTATGCTTCAATTCGAACCGCGTAGGCGTGGACGTAGGCAGCGGCGGGGGCGTCAGCGTGGGCGTGGGCTTAGGCACTGGGCGGACATATTTTTCATTTTGGCCCAAGCGTGTTTTGTTTACAGAAATCTTAAAAAGCCGCAATTCGCCGCCTCATAAAAAATGTCAATGATGCGATTTGTTAGAAG